AATTGTTATGAAAAAAATTATTAAATTAATACATTTTATCCCAATACTGCCTAATAAATAATTTATTTGAAAGAAAGAAATATTTTTCACATTAAATCAATATTATTAATTTCACATAAATTATTTATAAGACAGTATTAAAATTGTTCCGAATTCAATAAATAATCTTTTCAGCGTATTAATATCGAGCAAACTGCTCGAAAATGAAGTCGGCTCGCGGGAGATGAAGGTATATGAAAATAGAGTGATAGCATAATTTTCAAAGAAACATATGCCACACTTCCATGCACACACATGCATACATGCACGTATATCCCTCGATATTTCCCCGACGAAACTAATTCATCACGTTCCATTATCATCCCCGCACATAAATCCTGCTGAGAGAGTCAGTCTCCCTTCTTTGTGGAGGGAGAGAGAAAAGAGAATAAAAAATAGAAAGAGAAAGAAACAGAGGCCGCATACGAGTATATGCACACACGCGCGCGTTCGCCTTGTGGAGGCCGGGGCCACTGACTCACTGACTCATTCGGCATAAACGCGAAGCACGAAGAGGCTCATTCTCTTCTGCGGCCGAGAGCCGCCTCGTCGTCGAGAAGAAAAGTGGAGCGTCGACCTCGAATTTTCGTCTCTTTGTCCCGAGCTCATCCCGACTGTCATCGCTTCATCGGTCTCTGCTCGATTGTGCAATCGCGCGCGAGGAATCTCCGAAAATCCTTTCGCTCTATATCGGGGACGATCATTCGTCGGACGATGTCAAATTGGCGAGCCGCGTCCGTCAGTTTCTTCAGCAAAAATAAATCGTATACAAGATCAAGCTAAACAAACTGTGTTTACTGAATAAAATACCATTTAATTAATAAGTCTTTATCCAACTAAAATTCGTTGATCTTACGATATGATAGTATAACTGTTCGCGAAAGTTTTCGATCTCTTAATCTAAAAAAAAAAAAAAGAGAGAAAAAAATTACTCTGCAAAGAAAATAAGGATACTTTAATAATTTTCTAATAAAACTGTAGCCGGTTTTTGTAAAACGCTAAGAATGATGATTCGATAATTCGCGAAGTCGATCCTAATGAAGATGTAATCGATTTCAACGGGACGACCCGGTACATCCGCGATGTGGAAATCGCTCGTGCGGCCACCCAGCGCGACTATCGCGAGCAAAAAGTTCGCGAGGCCTGGCTACTCCGCTTCGCCTCTTATTATAGGTGCGCGGACCATCGGCCGGGATACGTCGAACGCAATTGAAAATAGCACCGACGCGCATTTAATCTAGCGTAATCGAAATTAAAGATGACGCGGATCAATTCAATTAAAGATTTGTATATCTTTGCGCGCACAAAAACGAACGATCTCTCTCGGAGAAAAATATATGAAAGAATCGTGTTCACTTATCGAATTTATATAGAAATACGAAGCTGCGGAAGCTAAAAAAATATTTTGCTTTTAATTAATAATGAATTTTGCAAATAAAATAGATAATTATGAGAATATAAAAGCAAAATATCACGAGATTCTCTCGGTTGCTGAAGAGATGTGCTCCGGCGGATGGCGCGTCTGAGCTCTCTCTCTTTCTCTCTCGGCAGGAAGTCGATCCTTCGATTTGGAACCTTGGAAAAAACGCATCACAAGAGGGACCACCCGCACACGTGAAAATTCACAGCTAGTTAGCTTCAAAGGCCTGTGAGGATGTGCGTACGGCTTATTAATGCGTAACGCGGTGCGAGCTTCCTTTAACTTGGCGCGTGAGGATATTTCGGAAATCGGTGATTGTCATCGTCACGATCGATTGATTATATTACTGAGGTCGGGAATTTTTATATTTCGAGGAAGGTAGAATTGTCAGCGTGAAAAACGGTTTTCAATATTTTATATTTACTTAATTATATAAATAATTTAATTATATATATAACAAACCTTTCTCTCTAATCAATTGAATGAAGAACTGTCTTGCGGATAAAAATTTGGAAAATAAATCTTATATATAAAAAGCTTTTTATAATCCACATTGTAGCACAAATAACGAATCGCCCTGTACAAGTTTTTCGCGATAAAATTAAACGATCGAGGGGTTCACGATGAAGAGAAGAAAAGAGAAGAGAGCGGGATCTCGAGAAGTATGATTTTGCACACAATCGGAGATTGTAATGCCGCTTTTCGAGAGGCCCTTCGCCGACGATAAGGGTCGGGAGCGCCTAACCGCCGTTAAAAGCCATTTCTCGATCATGAAAGTGCGCCTCGTTAATCGGCGATCGGAGATAACGCGACGCCGGTAGGAAGTAACGGCGCCGTTATCGGCGAGCGGCCAATATAATTTGCATCGAATTCATGCGCTTATCTCGACGTACATCCTTGGAGAACCGAATCTCGCTTATACACGGACAGAATTTTCTTGTTAGAATTTAAATCATTGTAATCGTGCGGGACAATATGATTAGGTACTGGAAGAATTTTATGAGTTTCAGATTTATCACAATCAAAAATATTAATATGTATACATAATTATCTCTGAAATTTATCTATATTTTAAAAAGAATTTTCTTACATCAAATAAATGATTTATAAGGCAGTATTGAAATAAATATTTATTCGAATCCAATAAATTTTTTTTTCAGAGTACATAACAAAATTAATCGAACATATTTTATATCCTATTGTGATACATATTAATATTCCTTATTGTTGTAAAATTATTGATCAAACTCTTATAAAATTCTTTCAATACCAGCATATTGTTCCACGATTTTTATCCATATTTTAAAAAGAACTTTCTTATATCAAATAAATGATTTATAAGGCAGTATTGAAATAAATATTTATTCGAATCCAATAAATTTTTTTTCAGAGTACATAGCAAAATTAATCGAACATATTTTATATCCTATTGTGATACATATTAATATTCTTTATTGTTGTAAAATTATTGATCAAACTCTTATAAAATTCTTTCAATACCAGCATATTGTTCCACGATTTATTTATATTTTAAAAAGAATTTTCTTACATCAAATAAATGATTTATAAGGCAATATTGAAATAAATATTTATTCGAATCCAATAAATTTTTTTTCAGAGTACATAACAAAATTAATCGAACATATTTTATATCCTATTGTGATACATATTAATATTCCTTATTGTTGTAAAATTATTGATCAAACTCTTATAAAATTCTTTCAATACCAGCATATTGTTCCACGATTTATCTATATTTTAAAAAGAATTTTCTTACATCAAATAAATGATTTATAAGGCAGTATTGAAATAAATATTCATTCGAATCCAATAAATTTTTTTTCACAGTACATAGCAAAATTAATCGAACATATTTTATATCCTATTGTGGTACATATTAATATTCCTTATTGTTGTAAAATTATTGATCAATTTCTTATATAAAATTCTTTCAATACCAGCATATTGTTCCACGATTACTATGATTTTCAGGCTAAATTCTAAAAATGCTCTCTTTGTATATATGCATATACCTATGTATGCGTATATATATCATTATCTACATCTAATAGTTATGCCGGGATAAAAGACTAGACGAGGATCCTCCCTCGGAGCCGAGTCTCGTTCCGCGGACGCGGCGAACCGCTAAATTAGTTAACCGTCTTAATTAGTCCTGGTATCCACACGGAAGAACGTATAGCATTAACGTGGTATTTCATGCGTGAAAAACGCCGAGGATAATTTTACGCGATATATACTTTTTCCGCGCCGTGTGCCGGAACTAAACTTTTATTACACTTCTGCCTGTATATGTATATGTTCTTTTTCTAATTTTCATAAACGGAATAACATGGAGAATTTTTTTGTATAATGCAATTTGTGCACGCGCGTGAATTAATTTAATAATTAAAAATATCGAGCGACAAATTTGAATGTGCAAATGACACGCATTTGACATATCTTATTTTGTTTCTCTCTCAAATTTTTAGATAATAAAATTATAATACATCCTATATTGTTAAAATCGCGAAAAGATCTCAAACGGATAATTTATTATCTGTTTGATATTTATACATTAATTATTATGTTACAACAAATATTGTATACGAACTAAAGAATATAGATCAGCTTGATTTCATAAATGTGTATAATCTGTTGGTGTTTACATTTACATAATCCTTTTTATTTCTGCTTCTCCTTGACTATGAAAAGATTCTATCACATTTACATATATACGATTGAATAGGTTCTCGAAATGTCAAAATTCGAAACATCAAAAACTAAAAGTATCTTTAAACTCTCTCAGGCTTCTTTAAAAAATATAGTGCGTTCTTATCTAATTTTTTAATTAAAGTCCTTTTAGTTTTGGAAAGATTTCAATACAATTAAAATTTGTAGCAATAAGTTCTCCCTTTTCATACTGAATACATTAATATTTTATTAGACACCTTTTAATGCTAAATAAATACATAATTTATTAGATATCGAAATGGAGATACTTGATTATCTCCGAAAATGCAGGGTTGGGTAACTAGTTAATTAGTTAAAAGTTAAAAAGTTAATAACTATTAACTTAGTTAATTTAAAATGTATTAATTTTTAACTTCAACTAGTTATTTTTGACTTCAAACTTATTAACTTTTTTCTAAATTAAAATGTTTTATCTCTGAATACTATTATTGTTTTTTATAAACGTATTATTTTAAAATTAAAGTATTATTCATTTTTATGTTCATTTATTGTCGCATCGCTTGTAATGACCAAAAAATGTATTTCTATATAAGGATCAAAATTTCTTTGTTATATGTTTCAAAAGAATTGACAAAAACAAAATTCTAATTTAATATAAATAATATTAAAAAAAATAACCTTTGATTTAACTTAATCTTAACTTTAACCGAGTTGATTAAAAAAAATTTTTTTTTAACTTAATCTAATTTAAAAAGAAGAATCATGAACTTACCCAACCCTGAAAAAAACGTAAACGCAACGTCGATCGAGAAGGAATCGAGACGAAGAGATGAAAAAGAAGACCGCTCACCTTTTCGAGTTGATCCAGCGCTATCGCGGCGTCCGTCCAGCTGGGCCTGACGTAGAGATCCGACTCGTGGCGAATCCTGGCGTTTTCCGCCGCCTTGGCGTCCTTCTCATCCTCCGCGCCACCATTCTGCCGCGAGCCCTGCGATCCAGAAGGGCGTTCCGCTAGGATCCCTGTGGATACGGGGCCGGACACGGAAACCATGATCTGTCATGCATTCGCCCGCACGCCACGCGCGGTTACGATTTTATGAACTCGTTCACCTTCGTCCTCCCTCTTTCCTTCCTTCCTTTCTCTCTCTTTCTCTATCCGTCCTCTCTCTCTCTCTATCTCCCTCGCTCCTCCACGGATCTTCAATTTCTCATCGATCTCTCGTTACGGATATCTCGTTGTGCGGCTTGCTAGAGGTCTTCCGACAACCCTCGGGGTAATAAATAACTTCGCGTTGACGTTTTAATATCGGTTCCTCTTTTTGGTTTTGTTTTGTTTTCGTAGGAGGGAAGAACTCTCGAACACGATCTGGTTCCAGATCGGAGTTCTGTCCCTCTTTCTTTCTGGGACGTGTCGCGAATTCGAGCGTGGGAGCGAAACGATCCGCGGGACACTCACTGCCTGGAGAAATCGTAACACCTTTCGAGAGCACTTGTTCACCAACACTGTCCGCGGCTTCGTACGATAACCACGTGACCCCGCGCTTCGCTCGAAATTCGCGCACGAGGATAGCGTGGCGCGGTGCGCATGCGCGCGCGTCCTACCGATATATATCGTACCTCGCCGAGGAGATCGGTTTTTAGGTTACCCGGGATAAACACCTTCCTCCCTCTCTCTCTTTTTCACCTACGGAAATACGAATCGCGATTGTATTTTTTTTTTTCCCGCGTAAGAATCGATCACGTGCCGCGATAATCCGCCGAACAGCCGTCAGGGCCCGGCTCTTCGTTGTCACACTGTCACACCACCGAAAAACGTTATCGTCGTCGTCGTCGTCGTCGTCGCCGTTCGGACGCGCTCGCAGAGTGCGACGGGCCCTCTGCGCGGGCCCCTGATGGGTCCTGGAGATGCGTACTCGTGCGTAATGTCGGTGCGACGACGGACGCCGGCGTGCGCACGACCGCCACTTAGAGCAGTCTAAGTCGGTACTAAAGCGAAACGCGCTGCCACATTTCTTTCCTGGCCTGCCTGCCGTGCCGGCCATAGTTGACGGCCTCCCCTCCCCTTCTCCAGAACGGCGCTCGCTCGGTCTGCACAAACATTCAGGCCCGTACGAGGTCCGTGGGCCCCGCACGTTTCGACTTTTCGCACGTTTATTCCGATCTGCGTTACGTCAAATTCATTTTTAATCTCGTAATATTCAGGGAAAATGGCGGTAGATTTATTTTGACAGCTGTCAAAATGTAGTATATTATACTATATATACTATAGTACGTAGTATACTTGTATACTACATTATATATACGTATAGTGTAATATAAAATATTAATATTAATATTTAATCTCGTAATATTCAGAGAAAATGGCGGTAGATTTATTTTGACAGCTGTCAAAATGTAGTATATTATACTATATATACTATAGTACGTAGTATACTTGTATACTACATTATATATACGTATAGTGTAATATAAAATATTAATATTAATATTTAATCTCGTAATATTCAGAGAAAATGGCGGTAGATTTATTTTGACAGCTGTCAAAATGTAGTATATTATACTATAGTACGTAGTATACTTATATACTACATTATATATACGTATAGTGTAATATAAAATATTATATTAATATTAATCTCGTAATATTCAGAGAAAATGGCGGTAGATTTATTTTGACAGCTGTCAAAATGTAGTATATTATACTATATATACTATAGTACATAGTATACTTATATACTACATTATATATACGTATAGTGTAATATAAAATATTAATATTAAAATAATATTTAAATATCTAATAATAAAAATAAAAAATAAATAAATAATATTTTATCTAGTATTTTCTCTAACAAAAATCAAGAGGAAATTGGATATGAAAAATGATATCGGTTTCTACATTGATTGATTGATATACATCGCGTCGATCGATCGATCGAGAATCGGATGAAGATCCTTACGGTCCACGGATCGATGCGTTCCTGCGCGCGGAGATGACGTCGAAGCCGAGAGGAGCCGAGATGGACCGAAGTGTCGGAGACTCGGAGACGATTGGCGGAGGCGTTTGGCGTTTCGCGTTGCTAGGATACCCGGAGACTAGCGAGGGGAGCCGACTCTAGACCACACACGCGTTCCCATTTTTCCTCGGAGCAAAAACACTACCCAACACCGAGACGACCGACATACGCGCGCGCACACACACACGCACACGCATGACGATGCACACAGCTGCGGATCGACACGACGCATAGTGGTGCCTAGACGGATGAGATCTCCAAGATTTTTTTCCAAAATTTTATCTAAAAAGTATTCCTAAATATTCGCGTGATCATCAGCTGACAGGATAATGTGCGTTACAAAATCTCCAAAGTAGCAATATTTTGATAAATCGAAACGATTGTCGGTGTGAGAAATATAAGCCTTTCTATATCAGAAAATCAATATATCCCCTTTGAATATATCTTTTAAATATTTCAATACAGATAATGTCCAGGCATCTTGAAAACGAGAGATTAATATAAAATTTAAATCTTTCTCGTTTCATATAATTTCTAATTTTACCGTGTACATATAACGAGAAACGCGAGTACAAATGAAATGATTTTATAAATAGTAAAAATAACATTTCACTTAAAGTTTGACGTCTGGTCCCGATTTAGCTTACGACAGCTATAAGTATAGGTATGTAAAAAAAACATTGAAAAATTTAGAAGCGATTCGCACATAAATCATTACGCGATTTTAACGCAACCAGAAGAAGACTAGAGATTATAAAGAATATATCGAGATTCCACACACGGAGAAAATTTTCTCTTACAATTTGCCTATAAGTTTCATCTAATTAATTTGGACAATTTTATAATATTAATATTACATAGTAAATTTTGAGAAAATTTTCTGTGATGAAAAGCAGCGGAAAATGTTAATATACGAATTGTCGATCGATAAAAAATGGTTCTCGTCAATGTATCATGTTGAATCGAGTTTTCTGAAACAAATTATTACCGTGCTCGATCCGTAAAATCTTTTAGGCATTACTGTACGTGAGTATGTGTGCGTGTGGTATTTTCTTCTCTGTTTCTCTTCGTATCCTTCGGCGCTTTCACGTTGCTCCGCGCTCTGTTTATGCGCATGTCGTGCATCTGTTTGTTTACGTGCATGTTCATTTAAAGACGAGAGAGAATTACCAAGGAGCCAATAATACCCGGGCGTCGTCGAAGATTCGTATTTGTATTCATAAGCTTTATTCGGTGCCAAATGTAGTCATCCGAGTCTCAGCCCGAAACATCCGTACGCGATTCTCCAAAATTCAGCATTAAATTGTTTATTAATTCGAGAAAAATGTATATCAATTATTTTTCTAAGAGCGTAATATAATTTAAATTAATTATAAATATTCCAAATAAATCGCGCGATAAGATTGCAACATACAATGGATACAGTTATTATTGTAAAAGACGAGAAACGAAAATATAATTCGTTTATTTTACATTGTTGATATAATGCGAGAAGGAAATTTTCTCTCATCTTTATCGCAGCAATTTTTTATCTCGTTTCTTGTATACATGCCGAATTGTAACCGTAAATCACTCAGGACCATAATCGAGTTGAAAGTGTCTTTTCAACGGAGCGTTTTTGCATCGGTGTACATTTCTGCTCGACATTTTCCCCGTCGGGAATACACATGTAAATGCGTGGGAGTGAAGGCCGGTCGTTTCCGGCACGTTACGGAAGAGCGTTGTTCGGCACGATGAACGTATTAAAACTGTCGTCGTAATATCAACGACACGACTTCATCAAGCACATTCGCGTGTATGTAATATGAATATGATGTACGATTTAAAAAATCTTGACATTACGGCTTTTCAGGACATTTTTTGTACAAAAATATTTCTTACATGCATATATACAATTTTTGTTCACTTTTACATCAATTGGAATTGGGGAAACAAAATATTTTGCTTATAATATATATGGAATACAAAAATTCTTTTTAATCATTCTATATATATATATATATATTTTTTTTTTATTTCGATTTAAAAAAAAGAGTAATTTTACGTATCGAGAAATTTTATTCGAGCACGGCCGTTGTTTCTAAAAAAAAAAAAAAAAAAAAAAAATCACAAGATGCTCTCCATTCGGTCGGGGATGAAGAGGGCAAAGAGGAGGAGGAAGAAAAAGGACGAAGGAGAAAGAAAGGCGGATCTTTGCGTATTGTGTCCCCTTTGACGAATGCACCCCGCGGTCGCCCCGTCGATCGGCGATAAGAGGCGAACGCGCGCGCCGAGGAACCGTTAATAATTTTTACGACACTCTTAACTCGCCACCCGGTATTAAGCGGTCCTCCGTAGGAGACGGGCTTTGATCTTCGCCGACGCCGGTGTATCGGCTTAATGAGTGCGGGAGCGAGATAGCGGCCGATTGAGCGCGCGCGCGCGCGCGCTTCAGCTCGCCTGTGGAACCGCCTGTGGTTCCTCGTCGATTCACGGACGCATGTCGCGTCGCATAATTCCAGGCGCATCCTCCGCGAAGAGAGGAACGCGCGAGAATAATCTCACAGTCGATAGTCGACGATTTTTTTTTTTTTTTTTTTTTTTTTTTTTTAAGGAACCTTCCGCTGTTACATTTTTCAAGAATGCCACGAGAACGATACATACTTTAAACGCTGTATCGCACGAATAATCTCGACACGACGGCTCCTATCGGCTTAAACGACTTCTGTGCATTCCGAAAATCAAGGCGGGAAATATATATTTGCGCAATTATACACAGCGGTCAAGTAGAACAATATCGGTTTTAATTATACTGCTAATTCGATCGTACTTTGATCCCTCGTAATCGAAATTGCTTTCGACAATTAGGATAACTCTTATATAGTATATTTTATTTTATTTTTATCTTAATAAAATAATATAATCGACTTTTATTATCCGCAGAAAATCTCATGAAAAACTCAAACACATAATTGACCAACATGAATTATTTAAACATTAATGTATTAAATATACTTAATATTCTTAAAACTGCTCTCGATAATTTTTTGTTTAACTCAATATTTTCTCGAGATTCAATAGATTTGAAAAAGAATATTTTTTTCTAGACCTCAATTAAAACCATCCAATTTAATCTTCAGAATTATGTTCACATATTATCTCTCTATTGGATAAAAATAAAAAGGAAAGATAGAACGGGAGAGAAAGAGAGAAGCAGAGAACGAGGCAGAAAGAGAGGGAGAAGGAAAGAGTTGGAGAGGAAGATATCCGACTTACTAATTGCAGCGACGTCGGTGGTCCGAAGGCACACCGCGGGCCATAATGAAAAGCAATATGGTCAGGATACATGGTACGGATCCGCTTGGACTCATCTCGGTGACTATCCCGAATTAAAATCGTAAATTCAGCTCGAAGGATTTGTAGCGGCGCCGCGTTCGGCCTCAAACTGCGACGCGCGTCGAAACTCTGGAAAATAATTATAATTTTTTAGAATAACGCAAGAAAAAAATTCATCGTATATATACCCGAAGAGGAATATACGAGTGTTGTATGTCCACGTTTGAAATATTATAAACTTTGATCTTTCATACATAAATTTTCGTTCTGTTGAATATATGACATATTTCTTGCCACAATAAATATAATCTTGGAGAGACGCAAAACGCGATAAATATTTTGATAATCCACGAAACGCACCGTAAAAATTATCAAATTAATAAATATTTATTTCAATACTGTCTATAGTTGAAATAAAATCAATATTTATCTGCTTGGAAAAGGATTTTCTTATATATATCAAATAAATATTTTTCACATGAAATCAATATTATTGGTTTCAAATAATTGATTTACTTATTAGGTAGTCGAATAAATAAATATTTATTCGAATTTGATAAATTTTGTTTTTAATGTAATACTAAAATAACGCCGTTATTGACGCTCGAGCCTTATAATAGAAGAAGAATATAATCGAGAACGATTAGAATCCACGACGACCACGTTTCACGGATGAAGACGTCTCACGAATAGATGGATTGAGACTTCAAGGGCACTCGGTAGGATACGATAGTTACGATTCTTTCGATTCCGAGGGATGTTAAGCGACCGTAAGCCGCAAACGTGGACCAAAATGACGGTCCCCGAATTTAGTAAGACGAATCGTTACAGCGCAGCGGCAGACTTGGCTATTGTCGAGCACACTCTGCGAGAAATCCAAAAAGTCAGTAAATTTCCCGGACTCGTTCCAGGTGGGGGAATTATACCTGATCGTCCGTAGGACGTACGACTACGTACGTTCTGTTTGCGTAGGACGGGGACCACCCAGGTCGGGCCGACGCCTCTGTGTCCGCCTGGTGGATCCGACTTGGCGGAATCCTTCGCTTCGCCGAGCGAAGCGAAGCGGAGGCGACGTTATATATACGTAAGGCAGGGGCGGATCGACCATGAAATTCGGACGGCGTTTCAACCTCGTATCGGATTATGACGTCAGCGGCGAAAAATCCCGTCAATTCCTTTCCCAAGCGCTATGCGCAATTGTATGTAACGTCGTGACAAATTCATTCTTATATACTAGCATACATATATGTATATTAGATATTGGGAAGATATACCAATACGTATTTTTTATAGAATTTCATCGAAATAAGATGTGCGTTTTTATTTGAGAACACAATCGTTTTCTAGAGGTCAATTTATATTTAAAGTGACATTTCTTCACAGGGAGAATTTATATTCAATAGATTAGTACTACAAATATATACTAGCAATATTATATTGTAATATAATATAAAATCGAGTATAAAATAGAAAACATACTATGATGAATATACACGGAGAGAATTTTCTCTTAGAGTTTATTCTGAAAATCATGGTAATCGTGGAACAATATGACATTGGAAAAATTTTATATAAGAGTTTCTCTGATTAATATTTCGCAAAATAAAAAATATTAATATGTACATAGTAATTTTTTGTGATAAATATTAATCAGAGAAACTTTTATAAAATTCTTCCAATACCGTATTGTCCCACAATTACCATGATTTTAAGATAAATTTTAATAGAAAATTCTCTGTGCAGTTTGATGAAAAAATTACATAGAAATAAAAAAGCAAATAATTTACAAAAAAAAATATTAATCTAATTTTAAAACGTGCTACAATTATCTCCCACAGATTTTTATATACATTGTATTTATACATTGTACTTATATTTTATGGTTGACCTAAAAATCTTGTGTCTTTTAAGATCATTGTATTATTGAATGTCTTTCTTTAGATTCACACTAAGCGATTTTTTTTTTGGTATTATTCCTGAACAATTCCTTTCTAATAATTTTGTTCGCCTTTGACATATGGCAACAAAATTTTTACCTGGTGTGCTATTTTTCATCCTATTGTGTTGCAACAGCAAGGTCGTGGTTTCCTGTGACGAATCTTACCTTAAATTTTAAATGATTCCAATGATGGATACACGGATGTTTCCATCATACAAGATAAAGCTTTAGGAAATTAACGTGTCAAACCATACCAGACAGACACTTTACTGTCTATTTAGTTATAATACCACCCATCGTGAATACGGTCTATTTAGTTCCATCTGATATATTATAATCTTTATTGTAAAGAAGAGTAAATTTGCGATAATTTTGAATGTGCCTGCTTATTATTCATCACACAAGTTCTTCTTTATTATATTCTCGCATATTTCAACTTGAATATTATTTCTGCTCTAATTTCATTACCTTTTTTTTTTTATTTTTTGGAATATGAAATTTCCACGTGTTATAACATCAGTGTTGTTATTACTATTATATTTTTGTATTAGCGATACATGATGTTTTTTAATTGCTTTTGTTCATTTATTTATGTTGACATAATAAATTGAAGTTTCAACTTTATCGTATATATAGGTATACAACGACAAGTCTAGTTCGTCGACAAAAGTAAAAATAATTAATTAACAACACCTTAATAAAATTTGAACACGCGTGATATCTGGTATTAATTAAGAGTTAGAGTAGGTATCGCACTTCTCTCATTAAGAAGAGTGGGTTACATCATGAACGAAAGGCATTCAACGAACAAGGGTCTGCATTCTCATGAGATGTTTGAAATCATTTCAAGATACAAGCGCAGTTTTTAAATTGTTCTTCACAATTGTAAATACCAGCCTTAGGAAATTAAAAGAAGAAAAAAATATTATCTATTTTATAGTATTTAGTAAATTACTTGTTATTTCTAATAACATTTTAATCCCTGTAATATATACAATAATTTTTTAATCACATGCAATTATCTCTGTGTATTCGAGCCATCAAAAATGTTTCCAAAAAATATTGTAAAAATGGAAAATAGCTTGGTCGTCTATTTCGTTTTTAAAAAATTGGAAACATTGGCACGGATATTAACGATTTTGAAATCGGGCACAAGCACATATTTGGATAGTCTCTAGATACGACTTTCGAAAATGTAGCTATATAAGCGCTGCATAACACGCGGCGATTTAAGCTGGATTCTGCGTGTTAGTGCGTACATGACGTACGGCGGCGTACGCGTAACTCACGTGGTCCTATGCTTAATATCAAAACAGTGTTAGTGACTGACCACCCACGACGAAACCGAGGGACCACCTAATGAGACGCGCTATTATAAGGGGCCCGTCTCCACTTCGCACTTTGCTTCAACTGCCGTCCTCCTTTAACCTTTTAATACGGCAGACACCCCTGCCTGTTTCTAACGGAGCTCGTTCGAAGACACTAGAACGCGTCTTTTTTCTCCCTCTTTACTCCAGGGGATTCTAGTATAGAGAAATCGGATGATTGATACGACATTTTGAAATGTATCGAATTAATATCTATAATAAATCATTATCCGAATCGTATAATTAACTCGACTGTGTCGCATTAATCTAGGTAATTCACCAAATTTATCGAATTATTTGGAAGATTATTAAATTAGACGAAAGAAAATTACGATTAGTTACAAGCATTTCGATACAATTTTTAAAAATCCATAATGTTACACAGAGAGAATTTTCTCTTAGAATTTATCTTGAAAATCATGCTAGTCGTGGAACAATATGCTATTGAAAAAATTTGATAAGAGTTTCTCTGATTAATATTTACCACAACAAGACATAAAATATGTTCCGATTAATTTTACTATGTACATATTAATATTTTTTATTGTGGTAAATATTAATCAGAGAAACTCTTATCAAATTCTTCCAATACCGTATATTGTCTCCCACGATTACCGCATGATTTTCAGGGTAAATTCAGAAAATTCTCTTCGTGTACAATAAAAATAGATAGAAATAAAATCATTTCATCAACTACAATAGAATTGACTTTGAAATAATTTCGAATTTCTCTCTCTCATATAAGTACGCAAAATCAAATATAGGTCACTAATATATTTTAAGAGACATCTTAAAATATAAAGAATAACTTTTGCCTGTAAAAAATATTCTCTGTGTTATAATAAAAGCGACAAATTAGTACTCGCGAACGAAATATACTCTACCGTATATATTCAATTAATTTTCTGAAATAATGAACAAATTAGTACTGTTTGCAAAATGTCTCTCGTCATATATAGAAGGAGCACGGATAGAAATACACTCGAGGCTTTGTATCTCGTTCGCGAGAGAGGATAAAGATCGAGATAAAGATTTGTAAAATCCGGTCGAGAGAGCGAGGCGCAAATCAACGTTTACACGTGCGTCATTAGAAATCAATAAGCACGCTCACGACACGCAAGCTTACCGCGTGTGTGCGTACGTACGTACAAGCGCACGCAACGTCGTACACGGAGAGGACGAGCCTCTCTCTATCTCTCCTCTAAGCCTCATATTTCGTGATCGTGTGGACCACCCAGCTAGTCCATCGCGGAAGTACGCACGCACGATTTGCACGCGCACGTATATATACGCGTGCGGCACTAACGGGATATACGGGGTGTCTCGCAAACACAAGCCAATTTTTTTCTCCATTTTAGAAAAATCGTGAAATAATTATACTCGCGCGCATTTAAATGTACGCAGGAAAACACGCGAGAGTGGAGAAGATTTTGCGGTCCTGTTGTATCCTGCTATCGTTTACACGCGTTTGTTTTATTGTCATGGACGTAACAGCGCTTTGTACGTCGTATTATCTTTCGAAATACGATCGCGTAACAAATACATAGTACTGACAATGAGAGACTAAAGGCGGTGAAATTGTTATCTATATTTTTTCTCTTCTTTGTTTCTATTTTTTATTTGATTATATATCAAATTAACTCCGTATACCAATTAACTAAATAAGATAATCCGAGACACCCTATAGAGAGTTTTAAATGCGTCGTTTCCCGAAGAGATTACGACAATTGCGTCTTTCACTTCTTAATTCGCCGATTTTCGTCTTTTACGACCGTCATTAAAAATGTCGTTCTTTTAGCTTCAACTTTTCAGCCCCTGATTAC